AACCACTCTCTGGGTTCTTGCGGAATGGGTGACGAGCTTCAGTTCAGGCTCAGATTCAGTTTCTAGTCCTACAGTTTGGTTCTCTTCTCCCTCAGCTGTTTCCGAGCCGAAGCCTGAAGCTGCACCTTCACCAGAGAAGCCGAGCCCCCCGCCTGAGGCAGCAGCACCTGAGGTTGAAGCATCAGCTGCAGCCCCCAGTGAAACCAGTGAGCCACCTACAGGTTGTCTGCATACTTTGATATTTAAATCAGACATATGTAAAGTCAAGTCATAAACACAATTATATTATAAACTTTAGTGGATGAGCAAGTTTTAGCTTTTTGTTTTCTCTTCACCACAATAAGTGAAAACTTGGCAGTTGCTTTCTCTGCAGCAGACGTCACACCTCCCTCCCACAAGCTGCCCTCACACACCCCCTACCTCCTTATTGGTGGAGGCACCGCCTCTTTCGCCGCTGCGAGATCTATTCGAGCCAGAGACCCCGGCGCCAAGGTCAGCCATGACTATTTACCCAGAATGCAGTTTGACACTTAATCTTCGGTTTCTCTGTTATTTGTTTGTTGTTTTAAATAAAGGAACCGCACGTTGTTTTTGTGATCAGGTACTGATTGTGACTGACGAGCCGGACTTTCCGTACATGAGACCACCTCTTTCTAAAGAGCTGTGGTTTTCTGATGACCCCAGTGTGACAGAGACGCTGCGTTTCAAACAGTGGAACGGAAAAGAAAGGAGGTGCGTTAGAAGTGGTTTAACACCCTTTTAGCTGTTTTAGCCTCATCAGTCATGTCTGAGATTTCTGCCTTGTAATAAATACCGTATATTGCTAGTTTTCATTTGATATTTTCTCTTTCCTTTTAGCTATTGATGCCAGTTATAAATACATTCATCATTTTTACTCTGATTCAATAACTAATCTGTCTTTAGAGGGATGTAGGGTTCAGCAAAGTGGAAATAAACATTTCCACTTGTCTTTGACTCTGTTTTTAAAAAGCCTTTCTCAAAAGAGACATTTTATTTTCTTTAATAAACAAAATAATAATGTTCTTTATGTTTTTGATTTATACTTTCTTTTTAACTACGTTATAATTTCATAAATCAAAAGTTAACCTAATGAAAAGAGTAACAATTAATCTTTTACATTATACTTAAAGGAGACCAATTATGGGTCCTAGAAATGTTTATGGTATGTCTGTGGGCTATCCAGACC